CATGAGATATATGAGATATGTACACATGAGATATATGAGATATGTACAAATTTCCAAAGTTAAGGGTAAGAGGTGAGAAAAACTCAATACCTCTCTATGTTAGTGGCCAAATTTCAACAAAACTGCACATTTGAACTGTGGACTAAGAACCCTTGAGTGCATACTTGACGCATTACGGGTAACCTCCCCTGGAAACTCCTCTGAAAAAACTGCTTTTCTAACTGTCTTGTGGTCAGCTCTCTTATCTGTTGTAATCCTTTATCTAAACAGTGACTGTGTGACCCACAAGAGTTTTAGGACCACAGCTCCTCATTGGGCAGATACTTGGACAGCACTGTGTACAGTATGTGCCTCTTCCATTCATAAAATGGGGGTGTGCTTATCAGTGATTGTGTAGGGAGAAGACATTACAGTGTTTGTGGGGGAGGAAAAGTCAAGAGGAATATTCTGGCGAAAACCCACAAAATCAGGTAAAGTCTAAAAACCCAATCCACATGTCCCAGGCAGGATCAAACCCAGGTCACAGCAGTGGACTGCGCCAACCTTACTCAGGTTTGCTCTGTACCATGCGTGAATAATCAGCACCTGACTTTATTCTGTCAGAATAAATTAGGCCAAAAATAATACTATTGGCTTGAAACTGCCTGAAATGGATAAGTTATAAAATTATGTTTTTTTGATGGGGGGTGTTGGGGCTCATAACCCCAAATTTTTATTGAGGACCTTTTTTTCCCCTTTTTTATAAGTCATCAGGCCTTGTGGAGCAGAATTTTACCCCTTACAAAAAGCCTCCCCCCCCAAAAAAAAATGTACACGTTAAATAGTACTTTTCCTGTAATTTTTCTGAAGTTCATGTTTTCTTAGCTTTATCTTTCAATTCCATGTGCGTGGCGACGCGAGGTATTTCACTCATAACATCAATAAACAATACGGTAAAAATATGCAGCATTGGGACTCCTATCAAAAGGTTTGGCAGGTTTGGGCACCATAATAATAAAAAACTTCCCTAATGTGGCACACTTTGACTGCCAGACTACTTTGTTGACAAACATAAAATTTAATTAGTGAAGCACAATCTAACTACTTTACTTTTTCATTTATAATTCTTGCTACATGTACTTAACCTCTGTGGGTGTTTTTAGTTTCATGAAATTTATTCTGAAATGAAAAAAAAACATGACTGCATCCGGAAATCGAATTAGTATTCCATGTGGTTCTTAGTTTGTTCAAAAATTTTGTTCAAAAGAACATGTACTGGTAAATAAATGGTGATAAATCGACTTTAGTTCTACTAACATGCCGAAAAGAAGTTTATCATAAGTGTTTTCGGGCACATTTTTAAGGGGTTCATTTTGGCCTTCAAAGTGAATGGATCAATAAACCCACAATTTTTGAGCAGGACTGTTTTGAACGTGACAACTTTTTCTGCTTGGTTGTGGTAAATATCAAGGGTTCAACGGAATCCCCATTCAGCCCCAAAGTTTAAGGCACGGAAGAAAACCAGGGTGCAGTGAAGAAGAATTTTAGTATTTACTTCGAAGGGAAAATTTACTTTATTATGCTGGTACAAATGTAACTGCTTGGATTTTTCACATCTCTGGCAAATTATCTGCTGGTCACTTTGATGTCTGTCCCGGTGCATGTCAAAGAGTGGTGTCGATTGACAGAGTCAAGCTAACAACTAATTAAAGTGTCAACAACAGTACATGTACTTCTTAAGCAAGTTTTAGATTAATTAATCTATACATTTATTATTGACAATATTTTAATGGCATACTCCACAGTATTTCACAAGACCATGTTGCACCTGGCAGGGGTGGGGGTGAACTTGAGGGAAGCAAAAAGTTTTAATTTTGCTTTTTAATGATTCAGATAATATGGACGTAACCTGTGAAAATACGGATTGCATACTTTGTATATTATTATACTAGAAAACATGGAACGGAAGGGTACTAACCCAGCAGTACAGACTATTGGCAGAAGCCAAAGGTCATTTTTTTCAGGGAATACTCTATGAAGGGAAATATGATTAAACAATCCCAAAAAGTGCAACTATTTTCGGACAAAATCGGTCTTGCTTCCCAAGCAGAGGGGAGCCCCTACGCCTGTCACTATACCTACAGCGCAAAGTATTCGGATGACGTCACTAAGGTCGCCCGCGGATCCAGCCTCATTGTGGGTCCCCATTGTATTACAGTATTTTAATGAGGCTCAATCTGCGGGTGAGGATTGAGCATGTAAGTGA